TTCTGTTAAATTTTGCTATTTTGACTGGGGTGAAATGATATCTCATAGTTGTTTTAATTTGCAAGAGATGCATAATTTAAATAATGAATAAGGAGAATAGAAGAAGAGTGGATGCCTTTGAGTTGTGGTGTGGGAGAAAAGGGCTGAGTATCCCATGGACTTCCAAAAGAACAAATTAGATATGTCTTGAGAAAAGTGCAGTCAGCGTGATTTTTGGAAACAAAAATAATGAAACTTTGTCTTTCGTACTTTGGATATGTAGCGAGGCAAGGCCATTCCTTGGAAAGGGACATCATGCTTCGAAAGATGGAGGGTCAGCAAAGCAGAAGACCCCCAAGGAGATGGATTGACATGATGACTTCAACAATGAGCTCTAGTGTATCAGAGACGATGAGGACAGCACAGGATAGGGGAGGGTTCAGGTTGTTATGATCACAGGGTTTCTATGTGTCTGATGGCACTTAGTAACAGCCACAGAGACAGTAGGGGAGCTTTCGTGGCCTAGTGGTGAGAAGCTGCACTGCAGTCCCAAAGGCACATGGTGTGAAAACACCAGGTGCTCTGTGGTAGAAGGATGGACAATGTCTGCACATGCAACTTACTATCTCTGAAAACCCACTAGATGATCAGCTATGACTCAGAAGCACACAACATTAAGAGACATTACAAACCTCTATAAGGACAATTGCAAAACACTACTACAAGAAACAGTAAAAGACCTAACTAAATGGAAAATATCTCTTGTTCAGGGGTAGGAAAACGAAACATAATGAAAGCTACAGTCCTCCCAAAAGCAACCTACATGTTCAACACAATCCCAATAGAGATACCAAGTTTCATTATTTTCCAAAGAGATAGAAAAGGCAGGTTTATGGGGTAAGCAAAGAGACCCCAAATAAGCAAAGCCCTAAAATTAAAATGAAGTGGGAGGCATAGCATTCCCTGATCCCAAAACCTCCTACACAGCCTTAGTAACCAAAACAGCAAGTTATTGAGTTTAGTTTTGTGTTTTGTTTTCAGTCTTTTGCCTCCTGCTGTCCAAAGTAGCCGATTCTGGCGAATGGTTCTGGATGAGTTTTATCCCTCGCTGTAGAGAGAGTAAATGGACACTTGTGTTGAGAGAGACTCAGTGTAACCCCTAGAAACCTGAAACCCCTTCCCTTACCTTGGCCGGCTCACACTGAATTCCCTGTCACCTGAACTGCTCTTCTCGTGGATCTGACAAGCCCCTTCCAGGCTCCACCCCTGGAGGCGTAGTGTGCGGCCGGGGCGGGGATTCTTAGCCTTTAAGAGCAGCACTCACTCCGGGTTCCAGCGCAGCTGCCGCCGCCAAGGGCCTCCCCCTGGCGCCGGGTCGGGAGCGGGCATGGCTGCGGGTGTGTGAGCTCTGTGTGGAGGGACCACAGCTCAGCGATCATGCTCGGGGGCGCAGGCGTCTCTTCGTTCTGCCTGCTGGCGCTCACCCTGCTGCTGCTTCGGCTGTGGGTGGCATTGGCAACGGGAAGGATGAGAAGTAAGTGATGGGGATGGGATGGATAGTCTCAGGGCCTGGGCAGCCCCTGTGCAGCCACTCCGCAGGGCTCCCTCTGGCCCCGTCAGTAGGCTTTGTTCCTACGCTGTGGATCCCCAGGGAGAACCTAGGCAGAAGACAAGCGGCCCTCAACTTGCTTTGCCTCCGCTCTCCCTTCTTTCCTATGTTTTTCTGCTGGGGCTTCTTTTTCCGCTGCTATTCCCATATCTCCTTGGTTTCTCACGGTGCCTGGTCTCTACTCTGTCCTCCTTTCTCTCTCTCTCTTCCTTTGTTTGTCTTTTCTTTCTTCTCTTTCTGTTCTTCTCACTTCTCGCTTATCTACCCACTTCATCATCCCGAGCGTTATGTCTGGGCGCCGGGACGAGAATCCAGAGGTCTACACTGTATGTATGCTGCATATATGCCAGGAACACACTGAAAAAGTAGGAAATGCTCCAGAATTTAGTCAAATAAATTGATACACATAGAATATTGAGAGCAGTGTCTGCCTCTTATGCCTTATTAGGAACCTTGACAAAGGGGATGGGACGGCTTGCTAAGTATTGATGTTGACCCCTGCACTAGCAGGACCCCCTTGACGGCATAGTCCTATGCAACCATTTTACAGGCAGAGAAACTGAGACCGAGACCATAGAAAAGGCCTGCCCATAATTATGCCACAGATTCATGGAGTTCAGGCCAACACTAGAAATCATGACTTGCAATAGCTTTGTTCTTTGGGTCTCAGTTGCCTCTTCGGGAAGCCAAGGGATTAGATTGACTGTATCCAATTTAGTTGCTGAGCGATACCATGTTTTTTATAGTCAGTTTCCAGGACTTCCCCCTCCCTTGCCTCATCCCTCAGGGACTCTGGTTTGCCTTCCTGGAAGGAACCTTCCCTGGGGATGGTGCCCAAACTCTGTCATCCTCTTCGTTGCTGTTATGTGCCTTGAAGTTGGTTACATCTCATAGTAATCCTATGAGCGCCGGTTCTGACCCCTGTCCAATCTTGGGCCATCCTCTCACTATCCCACAAACTCGAGCCCATTGTTACAGACATCGTGTCAGTCCATCTTGTTGAGGGTCTTCCTCTCTTTCCTTTTCTAGTATGTTTTCTTTTCCCAAAGACTAGCCCCTCCTGATAATATGCCCACAGCATGAGAGAGGTCATGCTAAAAGTTTCACTATCCTTGCCTCTCAGGAGGACCCTGCTTGTACTTTTTCCAAGACAGATTTGTTTCTTCTTCTTCTTTTTTTTAACTTTTTTAAAATTAATTTTAATGAATATTCACAAAGATTTTGGATTTTCATTCATTCATTCATTCATTCATTCATTCATTCATTGTTGTACTTTTTTCCCAACCCCACCCCCCCAGTTCGCTCTTCTCTTTGAAAAGCAAAAGAAAAATTCCTTCATCGGTATACAATCACTCCCCCTGCTCTCCCCTTACCACACCCCCCCACCGGATTATACTCCACTTTGCAACCTTCCATCTAGACTCTTATGATAGATTTGTTTATTCTTTTTAGTCCTTGGAATAGACAATACTCTTCTCCAACACCACAATTCAAAGGCATTGATACTTCTTCAGTTTTCCTTACTCGTTGTCCAACTTTAAAATGCATAGTAAGTGCATGAAAATACCAGGGCTTGGATCAGACATACTTTAGTTTTCAAACTGACATCCTCTGTCATTATATAATGACTGTCATTGACATGAAAGAAAGCCTAGCTCTTGCTCCTTTGCTGCTGCTGACAGGCGGTTGACTCCAGACCGCTGTGAGCATTTTCAAACTGAAGGGAGGACTGTCCCACTGGGGAACTGGGCGGAACACACAGGATCTGGCTGCCTCTACTGGTCTGCAAACAGCAACACACTTGCATCCTAGTGAACCAGGGACGCCCTTCCCACCGGAATGCTGTGGAGTTTACTGGGGTGAAGTCTGGTAGTCCTTTGTCATTCCAGCAGACCCAATGTTCCTTTAAGCTCTTGTAATGAAAGAGGAATGGAGACCCAAGTTTGTGGAAGCTGACAGGGCAGGGTGGGGTGGGTGGAGGGAATCCTTGACTTTTAGCCAGCCCTGCTGTGTTTCTCATTTCCCTACCTACCCTGGGTAAGCGCTATTTTGTGTCCCAGAGTTTATGCATTCACTGATCTGAGTACAGTTGTCTTCTCTAAGTTCTAAACCTTGGAAATCACTCAGTGAGGTGAAGTCACTATAGAAAACCTGGAAAGTAATGAAAAGTGGTAAAGAAAGAAAATGACCTGTAATTTCCAGATCCACAGTTGTTTTAATCAGACCCTTTCTCTGGTCTGTGTGTGTTCCTAAACTATGGATTGATGCAAATCAAAAGGTACTGCTGTTTTCTGTCTTGCATTTTCTTTTCCTTTTATGATAGGCATTTCCCACGTTATTAAAGTCTCCAAAAACCACAATTTTAATGCTTTCATAAATTCCATCAGGAGATCTTGGAAGTATAATTTTCGAAGTGTTAAAAACGTGACTAACATTCAAATGTAGCGTGAACACATGACAAAGATGTCTAAAATATTAATGAGACAAGGAGCTGGATGGTAAAACTGGCTTAAAAGGGCATTTAAAGAACAGGGGTTATACACAGGCAGTGGGGAAAGACTTGAAATCAAATGGCTAAAACCCATATAAAATGGATATAGGGCCAGTGGGAGAAAAGCCCTTAAATTATTGTTCTTACTGTTGCTGTTATTTCAGGTGCTAATGAGTCAACTGCTACTCATAGTGACCCTATGAACAGCAGATCCGAATCGTGTCCTATCCTGCATCATCCTCATGAACTCTGATAAGCCTCTTGTTACAGTCATCGTGTCAATCCATCTTGTTGAGGGTCTTCCTCTCTTTCACCTCCGTCTCACATACTTTGGGCATGTAGTCAAGAGTGCCTGATCTTTGGAGAACGACGTCATGTTCAGAAGGGTGTAGGGAGCGCAGGAGAGGAAGACTTGGGATGAGATGGATTGATGCTGTAACCGGGGCAATGGGGTTAGGTGTGTCAGTCAGTGAGACAGGCTCAGGACAGGGCAGGCTTCAGAGCTGTTGCATATTGGGTCACTGTGAGTCGTAGGTAACTAGACAGCACATAACAAACACCACCGCTACCATTCTAAGCATCATGTCTTTTTCCAAGGACTGTTCCTTACTGATAACATGTCTATAGTATGTGAAATGAGGTTTTACCATCCTTGTTTCTGTTGTTGTGTGCTGTCAATTTGGAATCGACTCATAGCTGACCCTCCAGTGGCTTTTCAGAGGCAGTAAATGACCTGGAAGGAGCTTTCCCATCTTTTTCCAATGGAGATGCTGGTGCCTTTATCATTGGCAGTGCAATTCCTTACCACTAAGTCATCAGTCTATCTTTAGGCTGAGAACCCAACCAACCCCTTTACACACTAGGCCACCAGACTCCCTCTATTGCAGCTAAGTGTGCTTAAGTCAAGTACAACATGTAGTGACCCCCCTGGGAACAACAGATCTGAACCATGTCCTATTTTATGCTATCTTTATTATCTCATATACTTAATCCCGTTGCTGCAGCCTCTGTGTCAATCCACTTACTTACTGTAAAATTAACTCTGACACTTGATGACTCCGTATGTGCAGAAAAGATGTGCTTCACAGGGTTTCAAGGCTATGATCTTTCAGGAGAAAAAAAGTATTGTTATGATTTTTGTGGAGGCTTACAAAGCAAATTAGTTTTTTCTTTCAAGCATTTGTACATATTTTAATAACATTAGTTTCATTACCCGCAATGTAATTACACTTTCTCTATTTTTGCCCTGTAATTCTGATTCCCATTAATCCTTGTATTTCTCTGTTTCTTCTCTTTCTTAAAGAATGATTTAGTGCTTATCATCCCCTTATTGGATATTGTCTTTTTCTTTACCCAGCTTTACATATGTCTTTTATCTATCTCTGGTTATCATCTAGGAATGATACTATGTACAGACCTTTCCTGAGCTTTCCTTATTGATAGTCTTACACTATATTTTTCCTTTTGTGACTGGCTTACTTTGCTTAGTATAAATAATGTCCTCGAAAGGCATCCATATCATGCAGTGTTTTGTAAATTACATCAGAGTTGCATGCTACTTTTTTGCCGGAATATACCATAGTTTCTTTATTCTTTCATCTGCTGGTGGACACTTGAGTTGTTTGAATTGATTTGCTACACTGCAGTGAACAGGGTCATGGATCTTTCAGAAGAAGGTTGCCAAGTCTGTCTTCGAAGGCCCTTAGGGTAGGTTCAGGCTGCCAGTGGGTACTTCAAAACCACTAACTTTTCGGCTGATAGTCAAATGCTTCAACATTGGCATCAAACAAGGACCCTTTTATCATTCTACTATCCTGAAATCATTTGAAGTTCCATCAGACAGAAATCTCTAGTTAACGCATAACTTCACAGAGTATAGGCCTTTAATTAATAGCAAATAGAAAGTCAAACAAAGGTATGTTCCCTAGATAACAATGCTTTTAACCATTGCTCCAAGATAATGTTTAAAGGATATCCTTCAGGCTTTTTGCATTGTTTGCAAGTTTTGAACATTTTTCTTAAGATATAATGTGTATATTATTAAGCCTTAAGATTCCACTTAGTGTTTTTGTACTCATAAATAGAATTTGATCCCTTCACTAATTCTATTAAGTATTGTATAATTCCCTTTTGCCTGAACTAACCAAGATTTATCAGTGCCACCAGGTTAGAGACTATGCCTATCTTGTTCCTCCATGGATATCAAGCACCCCATAGAGTTCTGTCAGCTTGTCTTACTGAGGTGGCTTGTTTGTTGGTATGACGCTGGCAGTTAAGTCACTAGTGCTTCCAATTCGTGATGGTGCCTGCGTTGCAGAGTAGAATTACGCTCCAGAGGATTTTCTTGACATTTCTCAGTAAGTCCAAACTGCTAATCTTTAGGTTAATAGATGGACACAGACTGAACTGGAATCAACTTGATTGCAATGGGTTTGTTTTTGGTTTGTTGGGGTTTTTAAAAATTTTATTATTTTATGTATGTGTACCGTCAAATCAGATCTGACTGGTACAGGAGGAGATTGCCCCTCCTTCTCCAGCAGAGCATCTGGTGGATTTGAACCGCGTACCTCTGGGATTCCAGTGCAGCTTCTTGTCACTAGGCCATCAGAGCTCCGATTGCAATGTGTTTTATGATAGTCTGCAATCAGTGTGTAAGGTTGCATTGCCACAAACAAAATTTCTCTTGTAGTTTAAGTTCTTCTTGTAAAATAATAATCCTACTACCAACTTCCCAACATTGTGAAGGTGAATCAGAACTGGACAGTGAGAATGATTTGAAAACTAAGAGATGATGCAGAGATGAAAACTCACCGCTAATGTAATGATACAAGATGATGTAGGAAGCATTTTACATTGACTGTCTCCAGAAAGGCCATCGGTGGGCAATTGGACGAAGGGAAGGAAACACCAAGCCTTTGTCTCCTTGTCTCCTTCTGACAGGAAACAATGGCTTGGTGAGAGCATGGCCCATGGACTTGAAGTCCGAAACGTATCCCGTTTCTCACCTCTGTACTTCTTCCCACTGTTCCGATCTGCACTATTTTTATCTCTCACTCAAACTTTTGCCAGTTTCTGGCTTGCCTTCTTAGATTTCTACCCACAGCTATTCTCCGCCCAGGCAAGATCATCTTTATAAAACCTAGTACAAATAATATTGCTTTCTCTGTGTTTTAAAACTTCCGATGCTTTCCACACCTATTAATGATAGAATCCAGTTACCTTCAGTGGCATATCGGCCCTTTGTTTTATCAGGCCCCTGACGGTGTTTCTGACCACATCTCCTCCTAACTTCCCTATGCATTTACTAGACTTTAGCTGTTGTACTGATTTGATTCCCAGACAAATTCCTGGTCAGTACAGCTCATATGTAGATAACATCTGTCTGCTGCTGGAGGCTTTTGTGCTGATATGATGTTGAACAAATTTCAGTGGAACTTCCAGACTGAAATGGACTAGCAAGCAAAGCATGGTGATTAACGTCTGAAAATTAGCCAGTGCAAACCTTATGGATCACAAAAGTCTAGTCTACAACAGATCAGATGATGGCTCAGGACCAGGCATTGTTTTGTTCCCTCATGCTTGAGGCTACCAGGAGTTGGCTTTGACAAATAACAACAGATATCTTGGCTTTGTGCCTACTCCATCAACAGGCCATGTCTACTTCTGTCCATGCGGTCTTTACAGGATCCCCCATGTTTGCTGACAATCTTGTCTAAAGTAAGTAGCCGTCCTCTCTGCTCCTGCTCAGTGTGCCTTTATTCTGTGACTTACTATCTTCAGGGTACTTGGGTCCATCAGAGACTATGAGTAGATTACCTATTGCCCTGTCTATAAAATAATCTACCTGAATGCAAAGATACTGTTTGCCCTAGTTACCACTGTATAACCAAACTCCAGGAGAATCCCTGAACCATCATAATAGTTTCCACAGCCAGTTAGGGGATATCCTGAAAGCCAGCAGGTCTCCTGAGGACTCATTATGGAAGCCATCCCACTTGGCAGTGTTTGTCTCAAAAAGATACATGTCGCTCATTTAGGATGTGGAGGTCTGGGATTCCAATTCTCTTCCTCTTGCATTGGCAGGAGAAAGTGAAGAAGGTAGTTCTCAGCTACAGCATGAAGTGATAATACCTCAGTGGAAGACTAAAGCAAGCCCCACAGGAGAAAAGGTAAGATTCGTGAGCTCTCACTCTCAGCTATTTGGGGGGCAAGTGCTGATGCTTTGATTCTCTGAAGCTGGGGCCACCCACTCACCTTTCCTAGAGCCCCAGTCATTCTAGCAGTTTTGGCTTCTTGTATAGTAATCTGTCCATTTTTAAAATTCTAGTTAGGATTTTATTATATGATAAAACTTCTAGAGAACTTCCAAGTGCTGTGACCTAAGAAAATGCAAATTCACATTAATGTTTATATAAGCTAAGTGAAATGTTATCGTGTCACAAAATCATCTACTATCATATGGAACTGATTAAATATTACAATAGTTATCTCCCCCCCCCCCCGCCCTCCCGCCTTTGCATACTGCAGACTTTGTTTGGGATAATCTACTTAGAACAATTGTAATTTAAACAAGTATTATTATTATTCTTTTCAAATAAGAGGCAGGACAGGGATCTAGTACAAGGAAATGTGTCTTGAAATTCAATGGGATACTTGGGCCAGAATGCTAGTAAAATGCACAGGCTCTTCCAAGAGCATTGGGAACAAGACGGAAAGTATCTTTATTTGTTCTTGCAGAGTGGGCCTGTGCATCTGGGATATACTTTGTGGCTCTGGTTTGTACATATCAGGTGATGAGATAGACGGAAGTGCTGGAGAAGCTATGAGATGTGATGGCTGTGCATGAGTGACATCCCTCCCCACTCTGACTTTCTGTTTTTCAACTCCAGTTTCCTTATTAATGAAACAGGATTTACAGGGCATAAAGAACTAAGAGAGGTAGAGTGGAACCTGCTCTCTAAGATTACATTGGGCTCAATATGTCTTTGATTTATGGAGGAACATGTAAAGTCAAGATTATGGTTGGTGAGAGGACAGAGCTGTGTCAGGACAGATTTCAAACCTTTTGGGTCTTAAGTCTGGAAAGTAAGTAAATAGAAGTAAAAGTGTCCAAAAATCTTCACTCTATAGCTAGAGTCTGGCCAACATATTTTTTTTAAAAAATGCTTGGATTAATTTGGATTAACTGAGGAAATATAGTTAAAATTTTAGGTCAAATAAAGTGACATTTTGGCTAAACTTCAATAAACTCATGGTACTCATTTTACCAAGAAAAAAAGAAAAGAGACTAAAAATAGCTTCAGGAAAGGTCTAGACAAATTAATGGATGGCCTTCCTAGAACAGGTTATTTTTGAAAGATTCAAAATCTTGGGTCTTCCAGCCTATCCATTATTGCCCAAGGAATGGATCTGACACTTTGTATAGAGACCGCTTTGTTCTCTCCAGATGGAAGCTGCTGGGCATCCTCAGGAAGGGGCTGAGAGACAAAGTATAGTCAGATCCTGTCTTTGTTCTCATCCATTGTCTGCCCAGAATATAGGTTACTGTACTTTGTGGAAGAGTCAGCACCTTGCTTGGCACTATAAATTTTTGTTAAATGAATGAATAGTGGTGGGGGGGGGAGAGAGAGGGAGGGAAGGAAAAAGGAGAGGAGAGAGAGAGAAAGAGAAAACAAGTGAACAAGTAGAGCTCATGTCCCATTTGGAGCTCTATTCTTTTTTAAGAAATGCACTCATTATTTTTTTTTATTGTTGCTATTTTTTGCTGTCAAATTGGAACCCATTCATATAGCTAATCCTTCAGAGGGTTTTTGGAGGTTTATAAATTACTCAGGAGAAGATTGCTCATCTTTCTCCTGAGTTACAGTTGATATAGTGGAACCACTTTGTCTTTGGATTGGCACTGCAACTCCTTACCCACTAGGCCACCAGAACTCGAGATTAACATTCATTCATTTAGCAAATGTTAGTTGAAACACTCCAGTGTATATTAAATACTGTATTAGATCTCAAGGGGAGTATAGGAACACTGCACCTACTTCCAGTCTCCTATGGGACATAAGATCTAGTTAATCTAATCCTAAAGGGAAAGGCCTTTCAAACTCTACCTAGATAACCTACCAACCAGTTGCCATGGAGTTGATATAAACGTGGCATCTCCACATGTGTCAGAGCAAAACTGTGCTCTGTAGAATTTTCAACAGCTTCTCCCTCCCCCTTCCCACCAAGTTGATCAGTTCTTTCTTCTAACCTCTAACTTTTGAGTTAGGATGTGTGCATCACTCACCCTTATGCTTCCACCACTCAAGGCGCTAAACAGAGAGAGCTCCATTTATGGAAAACAGTGCTTATGGCAATTAGTTCTAATTTGCTGAATAATGAATGCTGCACAGCAGGCAATAGAAATGGCAATGACTAATAGACTGCTCATTGACCCTTTACGTCAAGTGGCCCTAGGACAAGTGCAATACCTCCAACCCTTCCTTAACCCCAAAAACCCCTCAGTGACCTCGAGGCTATTCTGACACTTGATGACTCTCTAGCCTGTGCTCAAAGCTTAATCATTGACCCTTTATGTAAAGTGGCCCTAGGACAAGTGCAATACCTCCAATCCTTCCTTAACCCAAAAACCCCCTCAGTGACCTTGAGGCCATTCTGACACTTGATGACGCTCTAGCCTGTGCTCAAAGCTTAAACTCCCTTGAGAGGAGTGCATTGCCTCATCTTTCTCCTGTGGAGTGCCTGATGGATTCAAACCCCTGACCTTTTGGCTAGAAGCCTTACCCGTAAACCACTATGTCACAGGTCTCCTCCCAGCTTCCCTAGGGGAATTCTAAACAATAAGCCATCTTCCTTTATGTTCTAGGAGATGTGCTATTCCCCTTTTCTAGCATAGAGTGACATCAGAAGAGGGAAGTTCATCCGTAGAGTTGGCTAGAGAGTGAGGTTGGATAGATCTTTAAAATGCTGTTTCATTGTTTTGTCTGAAATGTCTCCTGGAAACAAACAAGCCTTAAAGATCAGTGTCTGAGCCCCTTTCAGACCAAAGATAAATATATTTGATTGCCCACTTTAAATTCTATATTTACTACTCATGTTACACTTGTGTCTCTTCTGGAAGATATGGCAGTGTTTTGACTTGTCAATGTTCTTTTGCTGTGTGGGCTGTCGTGTGGTTGCCTACCTCTTTACGAATGGAGTGGCAACAGCTCTGTTGTTGTATACTCTTTCCCGTAGGCTTACTTAAGTCTGTGTCTTAACAGGATGCTTAATATCATCAGGCAGAGTGCATCATCCCGACCTCCCCATAGTGAAGTGGTCCAGAGCTAGCAGTCAGATCAGGAGTCAGCAGAGCTGAATCAGGACATCAGGAATAGGGAGGTGATTCCCTTAGTGAAAGTTACGGGGCAAGCATCTCCCACTGCCTTCTGCCCTTTCTTGCTTGGTTTAATGTGTCACTTCTTGAGGTGAGGTAACGGGATTAATTAAGCAATGGCAGGACCATCACTGCCCATGAAAGTTGGTTGGTCAGAACATTCAGATCTTATCAGAATTCTTGCTAATTTGAAATACTCTGAACCATAATAAGAAGTGGAGTTTGCAGTAACTAAAAAGGGGAAGAGGCAAGCCCCAGCCGAAGGTAACAAAATAGGTGGTACACTTCCTCAAACAAACCATAACTAAGCTTTGAAGTAGACCTTAAGTGGGGCAAACCAATGCCATACAATTTGGCATTGATTCCAATTTGGACACTTAGAGATGACCCACTAGCTTGGGAGGAGACTGTGGCCCATCTTTCCCTGTGCAGCAGCTAGTGGCTTGGAATTTCTGGACTTTTGGTTAATAGCTTGAGAGTTGGATTTCCTTGGTCAGAAAGCTCATAGTTAAAATACCCTAAAATACTGAACACCCTTTAACCAGATCTGTCAGAGTGGTGACAGTCTTTTTCTCTTTTAGAAAAGTTCAGAAGATTTAAGTTGACATTGTTGAAGCACAGACATTTATTGTGATTTTGATTTTTGAAATTGTTTGGAACTTTTTGCAGGAAACACAGGGAAACCAAATAAAAAGGCCATTTCTTGAAATGTATTCACATAAATAAAAACATGGAAAGCTACACAAATATAAATGAAAAGAAAATAAATGCCTAGAGATACCAGGGGGAGAATGGATGTCTTTGAGCTGTGGTGTTGGAGAAGAGAAATGACTATCCCATGGACTACCAAGAGATCAACCAGATAAGTCTTAGAGAAAGAACAGCCAGAATGCTCCTTGGAGGCAAAGATGACAAAAGCTTCAGGACACATATTTTGGGTATATTGTTAGGAGAGGGTATTCGTTAGAGAGGGATATCATGCTCGGAAAAGTAGAGGGTAGGATTTTTAAAGAGATAGAAGGACAGTGACTGCAGCAATGGACTTAAGTGTGTCAGAGAGGATGAAGATAATAGCACTGGATAAGTAGGGTTGAGATCTGCTGGTTATAGGATTGCTATGAGTCATGTATGACTTGACAACACCTAACAAGAAGACATAGCTATGGCAATGCTTTTAATTTTTCTCTAGCTTTGTCATTTTATAAAAGTATACTGATGTTTCTGTTATGTGCTGTTGAACAGACTCAAAGTTGAGCCTCCAGCAAGTTTTCAGAGGCTATGAGTTGCATGGACGATTACCCATCTTTTTTCCTCTGAGCAGCTAGTAGACTTAAACTGAGTGCCTTTGGGTTGGCAATGCAATGCCTTACCATTTATAGAAAAGGCTTTGTGCTTATTATTAATTTTATACATTTTCTAGATTTAAAAGCCTTCCAGTGTCCATTTTTAGTGACTATCTGAAGTTCTATCATAGGGATGAATATTTAATCATTCTCTTATTTTTTAACAGCTTGTTTCCAAGTTGTCATTATTATAGGTCATGCACACCCTTGTGTAAAAACCTTTGCCTGAGCGTCTACTTTTCTTTTAGTCTTATATTATTGGGTCAAATTGTATGAATACTTTCAATCTCTTAGTCATAGTGTTAGATTGTTTTCTCAAGTTTGTATCAACTTAAATTTTTGCTGGTAGGGTGTGAGTGTGCATTTTACGTGATGCTCCACTACATTGTAATGTATGGGAGTTTGGTTGTTTTTTAAGATTTGACACTCTGATTTTATTTAATTTTTAAAAATAAAATAGATATCTTAAAAAATCTGGCAAGAAAGAGAAAGGATTGGTTATTAGTAATATTGCCTATGCTTTTTATGCTTATTGACTGTATGATTTTAAATAATTTACGCTGAGCATGTAGCGACTTGTCCATGAACAAATTCTCTTCAATGTAAAATACGTCTTCTCTTGGATATAACCAAATTAAACCCACTGCCGTGGGGTCAGTTCCGATTCATGGTGACCCTCCACCAGCTCTGAGGCTCTAAATCTTTCTAGGAGGAGACGCATCTTTCTCCCTTGAAGCAGCTGATGTATTTGAATTTATAAACTTTTGGCGAGTGGCATAATACAAAAAGCATTATGCTTCAAGAGCTCCTTTCTTTTAAACATTTGAACCTTTAATTTTAGATGTTGTTACTTGCTACCCCAGAGAAGTTTTTTTGGGGTATTTTTTTTAACTTGCCACCAATAATTAAAACAGCACCTAACAACCAACCAACAACAACAACAACAAAAAAAAAACAAAACCCACAAAAAACCAGCACCTAACAGCACCACCACTAACTGGTTCCTACACATAGTGACCCTCCATCCACTTTTGATGGCTGCAAATCCTAACAAGAAGTGATTGCCCTTTTCCTCATAGTAATAGCTGTGGATTCAAACTGTCAGATATGATAGCCTTTTGGGTCACAGCTCAGCACCCTGTGGACTCTGCCACTGCTACTCTTCCAGAGATGATTGTTATGGTTGTTGTTGAGTCAGACCAGCTCCTACCTGACCCTCTAGCAGGTTTTGAGAGGCTTAAATGGCAAGGGAGGAGATTGCCCATCTTTCTTCTGTAGAGCAGCTGGTGGATTTGAACCTCATGCTTTTGGACTGGCAGTGCGACTTCTTACCAGAGCTCCCTTCGGGGGATAGTTAGTTGTCATTTTACACCTTTGAATTGTATGACTCATAGGGACCCTGTGAACAAGGGACTTTTTCCTATCCTGTGCAATCCCCATCATCTTTATAATTGAGCCTGTTGTTATAGTCGCTGTATCAGTCCATCTTGTTGAGGGTCTTCCTCTCATTGACCTTCCACCTTTCCAAGAATGATGTCTGTTTCCAAGGACTGGCTCCTTCTAAACTAAAGAATAGAGTATAATAAACAAACAAAAACAAAAACCCTCCTCATATTGAATAGGTATGATCCAGGTGTCTGTAAGATGATAAATAACTCCATTGAAAGCTTCCCGTAGAGTTGTTGTTGTTATTATGTGCCAGTCGAGTCGCTTGCGACTCGTAGCGACCCTATGTACAACAGCCCTAAACCCTCTCTATCCTGTGCCAATTGCACTGCCTCTGACACACCCATTCCAATTACCCCAGTCACTGAATCAATCCACCTCATAGAGGGCCTTCCCCTCCTGCACTGTCCCTCCACCCTCCCAAGCATGATGTCCCTCTCCAAGGACCTATCCCTCCTTACAACATGTCCAAAGTATGTCAGACAAAGCCTCAAAATCCTTGCCTCCAAGGAGTAGCCTGGTTTAACCCTCTCCAGGACGAATCTGTTTGTTTTCTTGGCAGTCCATGGTACATTCAATACTCTTCTCCAGCACCACACCTCAAAGGCATCAATTCTTCTATCCTCCCTAGTCATTGTCCAACTCTCAGATGCATAACAAGTGATTGCAAAGACCATGGCCTGTATCAGGCGCACCTTAGTCTCCAGAGACACACTGTTGCTCTTGAGTACTTTAGAGAGGTCCCTCTAACAACAGACTTTCCCATTGCAATACATTTTTTTATTTCCTGGCCGCTGGTGTCAAGAGTGTTGACTGTGGAGCCGAGCAAACTGAAGCTGTGAACAATCTCAATCTCTTCGCCATCCATCCTGATGCTGTAGAGTAGACAGACATAAATTATTTACATGCATTATCCACTTAATTCTCACAAGACCCCCATAAGGCAGATTCTTATTATCCCTCTTTTATAAATAAGGAAACTGTGGTGTAAGGAAGATCAGTAAGGTTCCCAAGTTCGTAGTGCAACAACTGTTGGAGTCAGGGCTGGAATTCAGAACCCTGACTCCACACAATACTTTCTGTCTAAGGATGGGCTTTCTTTCTCTACATCTGCACAGGCGCCCTTGTTCCCACCACTTTCATCTTGGAGTTTCTGTCCTTCGTCTTTCCAGAGAGGATGGGTCGGGGAGGGGACTTGGCTGTCTGAGACTGAGGTCATTTCATGTTTGGGCTGGAAATGCAATTGACTCTTTCTCGTCCGTTTCCTGTGGACCAATGTCAGAGTTCTGTGCTGGGACCTTTGCCGACCCTAGGGTCCTTGACCTCGCTTTGTGGAACTGACGTTCTTTTGTTGTTTCTTCTAGCATCCACTAAGAGCTGAGCTCAGGGTCACTGCGGAGGGGAAAGAACTGATCCTGGACCTAAAGAAGAATGAGTAAGTAGAGTCCTCCTTTATCTGAAATGAAAACAATTCATTTCTCTGGCCTTTTTTACATGCCGGACGCAGGTGTCACTGTTTTGGAAGGAAGTAGGTCACAAAGTGACCTCCAGCTCTCCTTGGGATTTGTGGTGGAGGGAAGCATCTTGCAAAAACACAGTTACTTGGCTCTCTGTGAAATTATTGCCTCACATTAACAAGTTTCTTTAAGCTGTATTTATTTCCCGGACCTCTTAGAGCTCCCTGCAGACACCCAGGGGTGTGTGTGTGTGTGTGTGAGAAAGAGAGAGAGAGAGCGCACACACACACACACACACACACACACACACACACACACACACACACGGAGGGGAAGGGGGAGAGAGAGAGGGAAAAGGGTGGGGTGGGGAGAGACAGAGACACAGAAGAGAGAGATTAAGGGAGAGGATGGACTAGGGAATTTGGCCACTGTTTTACTAGCTCCAACCTAGCACATGGCAGGAAATGAAGGAGATTAGGGCAAACCGCCCAGAGAAGAGACCAAGCAGGGTGCGGTGGAGTTCAGAGCCTCAGATTCTGACTGCTCCGCCTGTCCTGGATCAGCAAAGGCAGAGAAGCTGTCACTAAGGGCTTGGTCAGCAGTCTCCTCATTTCCTGGGCCTGGTTCCTCCATCTCCCTAACCTCATTCATCTTGGGTGGCAGGCTGGCTCAGAAACATTCCTACGTTGATTTGCTACAAGGCATCCTCACACTTTGATTCCTGAAGTTGAGTAGGTGACTGGGCACACTTGGTGGCATCCATTGCCTGTTTGCTCACTCCTGATCTGTCTGGCCACTTCCTGGGTGAAGGGGTCTCTGACATCCTTCGGTATTTCCCCACCAATGGTCCCACTTTGAATTGGCCACACAGACACTGCAGATAAGGCTGCGTGCCTTGGAGAGACGCCTGTCTCCTCTTGGCAGCCTCCAGAGGCCCTGGAAACAGATGAGTAATCAAATGTATGATGCCAAGAAAGGATGGATTGAGGATCTTCTCAGATCCAGAAGGATAGCGTGGCTGCTTGCCTGAGGTGCGAACGGAGAATAGAAATTACTCCAAATTTGGGCTTTTCAGATACTTGCAAAGGAGGGTGAGTGGCATCTTGAAAGAGTAGTAAGAGGGCAACTCAGAAAAAGGTATGTGCGGTTTGGGGCTTCATCTGCATCTTCCCTCTGCCTCTGATATGAGGGTGCTGGAAAGATGGGAATCACAGTTGTCCTTGCTACCCTCTACCAGCCTCTACTATGTCCTTTTTGACTACTTTCCTGGAGCAGACCTCATCAGCTATGTCCCCAGATGGTGTAGGCTCTTTTCAGCCAGGATCATGCCTGGGGCTGCTATCCCTTAGTCCTCATAGGAGCTGTCCTTGACAGTCTCTCAGGACTTCCTTAATTTTCTCCGGGCCCCAGCCAGGGCCACTTAGGGCCCTCTGGCCACACCAGTCTAATCCATCTGTTCTGGCCCATACAGTCCAATTGATGGTATTGATATTATGGGCAAATCCAAAAAGCACTGGACCGGCTAAGCAGGGCTCCCAAAATGCAATTTTCTATTCTCCTTACTTTAGAAACTTTGCAAGAAGTCACAGGAAGTCAGAGCAGTAAGCCCTTTAAACAACATTGGCTGTTTCCTATGAGGATATAGCATTTTGACTCAGAGAAGAGAAAAGGTTTGTCTAAGAGACCCCACATGGTATAAATAGGTAATATCCTCAGCTACCAGCTGAAAGTTTAGAGCTTTGAGTCCATGCAGAGAGTCTTTGCAAGGAAGGCCTGATGGTGTGCTGTGTAAAATCAGTCATCCTCGGGATCACAGTCCTACTCTGACAAACACGGAGTCAGTCACTCAGTCAGAGTTGGCTCAACAGCAAGTGGCTTAAAGTCAAACATCAAACCTAGGAGGGTGCTGGAACTGGGATCATTTGTCTTGTGCTCTTGTCCTGTACGTGGAGGCTCAGGACCCCAGGTTTGACTTCCTAACCGTGTGACCTTGAACAGGTAGCTAAACCATTTGGAAATCATTTGCCCTTGTCTTTATTTTAATATAAAATTTTTGTTTTATACTGGTTTCACACCGGATCTTTCCATTTCCTTAACCCACCCCTCCCTCCACCCGTCAAATTGTGTGACCTTATGATTATGTCCCCCACCTTCCACACAACCTCACCCTTTGCTCTCACCCTCCTCCCCTTAGATCCTCATACACGTTCCACTAGTTCTCTATTTCTGCAATAATGTTCTTATACAGCATTTGTCCTTATGGGACTGAGTTCACGTAGCATAAAGCTCTCCAATCCCTCCCAAGTTAGATGGTTCCTTGTCTTTAAAGTGAAAATAGACACACCAGCATCTTTGGGTAGTTGTCAGATTTAAAGAGGTTATGTGCCCAAAGGCTCAGAAAGAACTTAGTGAGTAACCTACCACTGGTGTGATTTTTATGGACCCTCGAAGGCTCCAGAGGCAAGACCCAGGATATGGTTCTATTTTCTGTTGCTCTAAGCCAAGTAAGTATGGAGCAGCTGGAAATGACTCCAGCTTCCCAGAGTTTTCAGAAGGCAGGAGACTTGATAAAAATGGAATCAGCAGAGCCAAGCAATATGACCTCACCAGGTATCCCTGGGGATGACTTCCTGCTATTTTCATCCAAATGGGGCTTTTTGTTTTTGAACATGTGTTAGCAAGCGGAACTCCAGCCGCACACGACTTCCTAATGTGTTTATTTCCCAAAGTTTTCTCATTCATAGTACGTGTGAGTCCAGATTCTACACAGCTCGGGGGAGGGGAGATGCTTTTCTTCGTTTTCAGATTGCTGTTTTCAAGTTTTCATAATCCCATGACACTTGAGGGGAAGCAAGGCCCGGTGCTAAGTGATTTCTCAGGCTCTGCTTCTTTCTCCCGGAATTGATTCATTCAGTTTTTTCATCTCTAGTATAGAGTCCACCCACCAGTGAATGTACTGGGGATAAAGCTGTCAGTAAAACAGCTCTGTGTTTCAGGGACTTCCATTTTAAAGTGGGGAGGTGACGAGGTAAACAGACAAGGGTGTTTGGTTTGCTAGCTTGACAAAGGCCTGTGGAGAAAACAAAGGAATGCCAGAGGGTGGGGAGGGAGGTGCTATTTTTCTAGGCAGTGCTTTGAGAAGGCGGGGTGAGTTGGCGACTAGTTGATATTGGAGTTGAGACCTGAAGGAGACCTTAACTTTGACACATAGGGTATAAGCCATGCCGGGTGGCTGGATGTGACCATTACAAGGATAGGAACAGCCACATTCAAAAACCCTAATAAATTATGAAAGTTTCTGCCTCTCACTTCCCATCCCAGGCCTCCCAGGAGCTATGAGCAAGGGCTTCTGGGACTCTGAAAGGAGGGAAAAGATATCTCTAATTTCTCTTTCATCATCCTGAGGTGTCTGGTCTCCTCCTCATCAAATCAAAGTCCACATGCTAATGCTTCGCCCAGAATAGCAGTGAGCAGTCCTTTAATGGAATTCACACTTGGAGAGACTGCCAAGAATGGTGAGGCTGGGCAGCTTGGGGGCTGGGCGAGGAGAGGTCATGAAGCTGACTGAGCTTCCATCTTCTGGGGGGCTGTGCAGCACTCCTCTCCCTCTTCTGTAGCAGGCAGCTAGCAGGCTGCTTATCTGCTGTGAAGCAACTGGAAATGGATAGACTACAAGGGGCAAGTATGTTAATGAGTGACAGCACAGGGTCAGGCTGAGCAATGGCTTCACATTCCTTAGGCAGACCTGCGTTCAGACCCTGACTCTGCCACTTGCTAGCTGTGTGTCTTCGCCAGATCTCAGCTTTCTCCTCTCAGGTGTGACAGTCATACAGTGGAAGCCATGAGATGGTAGGTGCAAGAGCCTAGTGTGGTGGCTGATTCTCGGTACATGATGACTATCATTTTTCACTCATTGTGTTTTAATTACAAAAGCAATGCACACTCACTGGAAGGCATGAAAATTGTTTTTCAGACTCCAAGGGGAATTTGTTGGTAACAGTTTGTCTGAATGTTTTCTACATTTCCAAGAACACTTATATGGGTGTAGAGTCATAGACATAAGGCATGCTATTCGAATTGGCCAGCTACTCTATCTGCTAAAGAAAACTAGTCAATTAACTTCTGTGCAATTAAAGGCCTCTGCAAGCCCGCTGGAGGGTCAGTTATGAGTCAGTCCCGACTCTCCAGTAAACAGTAACAGGTTATAGACGTAGTCACCCAGAAGGCCCACAGAAACTACTAATTTTATTGAAGAAGGGAACAGAAATGAAATTGGATTAAATGAGGTAATAATATGCATGTTGTGGTACAAAGGCATTCTCGTGGTGCAGTTGCCAAGTGCTCATCTTGCTAAGCAAAATGTCGGCTCTTTGCAGTTTTGGAAACCCCATGGGTCACTTCTGCTCTGTCGTGTAGGGTCACTGTGAATTGGAATAAACTCCATGGCTCCTGAATGTTTTGATTATTCCACAACTTACTGATTTTACTTAACACTACATGTGCTTCAATAAAAGTGTATATTATATTGGTATGATGGCACAGTGCATAATGTATTTGACTGCTAATTGAAAGATCAATGGTTCTAATCCACCAGCCACTTCAAGGAAGTCACAAGCAGCCACTCCCATAAATCACCATGAGTCGGAGTAGATTTGATGGCAGTGGGTTTGGCTCTTGGTACAAACACACACATCAAGTCCTGGTAGTGCATTTGGTTAGGTGCTTGACTGTTTACCCACCCAGCAGTCCTATGGAAGAAGACCTAGTGATCTGTTTCCATAAAGAATATAGTCAAAGAAAACTTATGGGGCAGTTTTACTCTGTCACATTGAGTCACAATGAGTTGATAATGACTTGATGATGGTTCCTACAGTAGCATATGTGTAAAAATGTCCAATCTTAATTACACTCATGTAATTTGAAAGTTGAGGTATGTAACAGTCTTTGTGCTTTCTCATGTATGAAGCAGTGTTAGTGG